TGTGTGTGTGTGTGTGTGTGTGTGTGTGTGTGTGTGTGTGTGTGTGTGTGTGTGTGTGTGTGTGTGTGTGTTCTGTTCATTCATCAAAGGCAGTGAATTGTTTGGGACAACCGGCTGCTTCAGGATCTGTCAGCGTTACAAATGTTCACAGCTGCTGCTGTCTGAGCCACGCRGGCAGAGGGCGCCGCGGGCCCAGGAGGTTCGTCAAGACTCACCTGCCTCTGTAGACAAACTTCATTGGCTCCACCGCCAGCGCCGTGGCAACGATGTCATCAGCGTTGTGTCTCCGCCCGCTCACCATGATGAGCCCGTCCATCTTACCCGTGATGAAGACGAGCCCACCAGGTCCGATGAAGCCCAGCAGCCCGGTCCGCACGAAGGCGTACTCGCTGACCAGGCCGCCGCCGGAGCTCACCGGGTAAACCTGCCAACGGCACAGAGCAGACACTGTCACCATGGCAACCAGCCTGGCCTGGAACTCACAGTCTGATCCTGTTTTTAACGTCGGACTCACACTGATAAACCAACACAGCTGCTGGTTTCATACAAGTGGATCTGATGGGAGGATGCTCTGAGGTCAGCTGAGTTTAATTAATGCTAAATGAACATAAAAAAGCCTTCATAATAAATTTTTTTTTGTCTAAAGTAAGTGACAGATTTTAGTTAATTCCATAAAAATATGTCCTTACATGACTACAGAGCTAAACAAAGCAGATAATCTGATGAAGATTAGAATTTTCAAATGCAGATGAATTGAAAAGCTTAAAGTTTGTTTAATACAGGAAATGTTATTTATATTTTTACTTTAGCATGCACTGAACAAGCAACTGAAATATGAGCAGAGCTCATAACAATTACACCAAAACTAAATTAGATCTTAATTGTCCAGAAGCCTCATTCTTCTAAATGTAGACATATGGATCATCCAATWAATGTATCAGAGTTTTTTTACTCAACATTTCTGATCAGATGACACGTCTGCTGGTAATAATGTCTCACTATAGATACAACTCAGTCCAACCAGAGCATACAATCTAAAATATTAGTAAAATGTACATCAGACAAATTATTCCATCCAACTGAGACCACATCTGTACRTTATCAACCAGACTACATGAGGCACTTCACAACACGTGTCCTCATTTACTCATCCACACACACACATAATCTGAATAAATCATTCTACAGCACGTGTTAAACTCAAGTAGTGCTGTACCAAACGATTATTTTCTAATCGATTAATCTAACGATTATTTTTTTCGATTAATTGATTATTCTAACAACAAATCTATAAGTTATTCTGATGTGAGT